GGGGTAAGGGAGTAAGTATCGCACAGCATGAATTCAGAGACAAACGTGGTCCTCTGATTCCCTATACTATTTTTACTATTCACAGCAGTTCATCTGTGTCATCTGTCGTCCTGTTTATTATCGATTCATTCAAGTGGAAACCAATAACGTCTCCAGCCGTTCCTGTCGCGAACCAGGGTGATACAGTGGATCGTCTTCGCTTCAGGGACGCAAGGCTCCACATTCCTTTTGTTATAGCTTTCGAGAAGAAGTCTGACAATCGCGCTGACGGCCATCCTCAGGTTCATCCAAGATCTTCGAGGATCCAGTTGTTTACCTCTATAGTCCATTGGTCAAGCCATGTGTCCGGCCTACCTGATATCCGAAGCAACTGCATCCCTTACTTTGTTCATTGGTGGAGCTCGGAACTCCGGAATCCCTTCTCCACTTGCGGTCCGTCACTGTTACGAAAATAAATAGTGAAAATTGGAGGCAGAAACCTACGCATTTCCTTTCCGATTCCATGTTATTTTTAACAGAATGCTTTCCGATTTTTGTTCCCGTTGGATTTCGTTCCTTTCGCGATGTGGCTTCTTTTTTATAAAAATTTCATTTTGTTAGGGAAACATTTCTAGCTGAAGGAAATTCCATGGTACCTCGTTGTTTATGAGGTATGTTTGCCGAGGATCTTTTTCTCTCGGGATCGTTACAGTAGCAATTGCCTTTATATCGCAGTAGTAGGGAAAGGAAGATCTTAAGCCTAGAAATGGATTTCGATTTCAATTGATTGAAATTATTGGTTATAATATTAAAAAGAATCAGAAAAGTCATCATTCCAGCTTTGATATCAAGTCAGTGGGAATGTAAAAATTCAAAGCAGAAGTGAAAAAAACCGGGTCGTAAATGAAATGGGAACACAGACCTGCAAATGTCCTTGAGAAGCTGCCGTTATAAGCTCTTCCTCTTGACCATTCGTTGACGTCTTTGGCGTTTAGACGGATATAATGAGCTTTTGTTAATTCTGGCACGATTCAACTTCTTTTTCCGCTTCGCTTACAACAGCTTCCAGGAAACGACCTCGGTGCCGAGATTTGGAAAAAGTGGTGAAAATCATAAATATCAGCTGATTAAATCGTAACTATCCTTTCAAAAATACAGGACATTACCTCAAAATACTAACAGACCGTTGCCAGCCAAAAAACACCTATACTCAAACAGAAATCCGAAGAGCAAGGGCACAAAGTTGGTTTTGGACAAGCAGTTGCATTTTTCCGCTTTTTCACCTTCTGGAGAGCCTGTCGTAGTCGAACTTACTTCTTAGATCGCCTACTTCACCATGTCTCTCAAATTCGTAGTTCTGAGACTATCGCTTCCTTTCTACTCTTAATTCTAGAAAAGGACAAAAATTTTTTTTTTGTTCTTCGAGCTTTGTGAACACGATTTGGAGACGTTTTGTCGAGTCGCTTTTTCAACGATCTTTGATAAAACCGAGTTTTTCAAGGGCAAATGGAATACCACAGTGTGTCTCAAAAGTATGTGCACACCCAACATTTTGTTTTTTT